TACAGCTATATGGATTAATTAAACCATTCAGTTCTCCAACAGGCATTGATATGTTAAATGCCTAGATTGGGCACGATGCTAAACGGAGCACCTCGTGGAATACAAAGGAAGGAAAGGGATAGTACTTGTCCTTGAGGAGTCTATCATACTGAGCGGGTAAGAAAATAATTCATTAAGTGACTGGAGAACAATGCAGCACAGCGCCGTGGAAGTAGGAGACCGCAAGGGACACGATACGTGCTCTGGGAGGTAGGGAAGTCGCATGGAACCAGGCCAGTCTTGAATTGGCTCTCGTGTAGGATGAAAAAGGGTTTGGAAGGAACATCTTAACTTCTGTGTAGACTATCTGGGAGTTTAAGATTCCATTCCTTTCTTCCTCAGAGGCTCCTCCTATCCAAGCTGCAGGGACCATCCCATCTATGTTATGGTCAATAGTCTCCACCCTTCCCCAACCACCAAGGCCTCTGTTACTCATGTTGACGGAGCTTTGGGCTGCCCGGTCTCCAGAGAGGACCCTGTCTATGAGATGCAGAATAGGGGCTGTAGGGGGAACTGGCTCCATGGAAAAGTCTCTGTGACCGGCCATCTTGTTTTCCCTTCCTCGTCGTAGGCAGTCCTGGACTGGCGTGTGCTTTTTTACCTTTGTATCTTTTAACCGAGGGCTGGTAAGCGTAGGTAGTCAGGCTTCTTGCATTGCTAGACACGTGCTCACTAAGAACAGCATAACTTCTGGAGGGCACGATCAGTAATTTCCTCAACCTTGTGGATTGCTTCCTTCAAGCCAATGGATTTTTTTTTTAATGTCTATTTTTATTTTTGACAGAGAGAGACAGAGAGAGAGACAGAGACAGAGCATGAGCGGGGAAGGGGCAGAGAGAGAGGGAGACACAGAATCCGAAGCAGGCTCCAGGCTCTGAGCTGTAGGCACAGAGCCCGACGCGGGGCTTGAACTCACACTGCGAGATCACGACCTGAGCCGAAGTCGGACGCTCAACCGAATGAGCCACCCAGGCTCCCCCCTTCAAGCCAATGTTTATAAAAATTTTATTCTCAAAGCTGGTGTTGCTTCATGCTTCACATCAGCTTAGACGCCACTTGCCTGGGGCCGTCTTCCCCTGCAGATCCACATGATCTTGTACTTTGATCACAATTTGTAATTATATGTTTACCTGTGTGGTTACCAGATTAGCGATTGGCTCTCCCTCCAGAATGTAAGCTCCATGAGTCAGGAACCTGATTTGCCTAGCCCCTGGCCTAGGCACAGAAATAAATGTTTGAAAGTTGGGTGAATGAATTTAAAAATAAAAGCGTGGGACGCCTGGGTGACTCAGCCGGCTAAGCCTCCGACTTCGGCTCAGGTCATAATCTCACACGATCTCAGCTCCTGAGTTCGAGCCCCACATCGGGCTGTGTGCCGACAGCTCGGAGCCTGGAGCCTGCTTCGGATTCTGTGTCTCCCTCTCTCTCTGCCCCTCCCCCACTCATGCTCTGTCTCTCTGTGTCTCTCAAAAATGAATAAACACTAAAAAATGTTTTAACAATAAACAGAAAAGTGTGGGTAGAGATGCATGGTCTTGGGAATCAGGACACTCAGGGTCTCCTCGGGATGATTATAGTAGGCAGGGAGGTTTCCCGGCTCCTGGCTGGGAAACCACCCATAGGACCTCCAAGAAAGCAGTTGAGAGAGAATGCCTGCTGTCACAGTCTAGAGAAAAGACATCCCTGTGCCCTCCGAATGAACTCACTAGACCCTCAGAACTGTCATCCCAGCTGTTGTAGAGGGTGCTGCCTTGTCTGTGATTACATGCTGGAGGCCTCTAGCATTGCCACAGGAATCCATTTTATTGCAATGTGGATTTCCCATTAGGGGTGGGAAAATCAACTCGGAACATCAGATTCGGTTATAGTGTATTTCCGGAGGAGAAGCAGTTTCCCCTGATTTCACGTTTTCAGTTTCTTACTGACTTTTGACCTGGGGATTTCAGCCGCGCGTCCTGGCTACTGAAACGAGTGTAAGAACATCAGCTAACTTTTACAGAGACAGGCGCTGTTCTAAGTGCCTCTGTGGATGTATCATCTCATTAAAGCTTCGCTGCGGCACTATGGAGTGTGGGTCGCGGTACGCGTATGCCCATTTGGTAGACGAGGCGTAGAGGGATGTATCAGAACAAACAAGTAAGAGAGCTACCATTTGAACTCGGGGTTAGTTCTCTGGCTGGCATTCCTTATATCGCCTCCTAACGCAGCCTGACGTTTATTTGAATGCTGCGACGTCGTCAGACTCACGTATCGTATGTATAGACCACAGGGGCTTTCTTACATAGTGTTAGAACAACGCTGTGAGGTCAATACAATTACTGTGCCCACATTGCAGGGGATGGCGCTGAGGCTCAGAGAGGTCAGGGAACTTACTCCAGATCACACAGCAAGCTGTTGGTGTAGCAAGACTCACGCTCTGATCAGCTTACTCGAAAGGCCACGTTTCCAGCCACAGCGCGTTGCTTCCTACGCGCTCCCAGAAATGCGCTTGTGTGACCATTCAGAGTGGTGGCAGCGGGGGACTAGTCAGTTGTGTGCCGTGCAGATGGTCCATCAGAACTGCAGGAGAAAGCTGACAGGTTTTTCCACAATTACGCCACAGCCTTTCGCTCCCTGCACCTTCGAAAGGGGAAGTGTTCTTTCTTTTGACAACCATGCATCGTCAGATTGACCCGTTCCCTCCCTTGGCACCTCTTCTCTTTCGCAGGACTAAGCACACTTCAGTGAGCTGCTTCGCTGTTCATGCTTTCCACTTGAATTGATTCTGCCGCTGCCTGGGAGAAGGTGAACTGAGGCAGGTCTCCCCTCCGTTCATCGCAGTCAAAACTCAATCTTTGTACCAGAGAAAAAGAGGGGACTCTAAATGACCCACATCGGTTCTCTATAATACATTCGTCATGTATTTGTCTGGGAGAAGTATAAACTTAGCAAGGGCACCCAAATGAATTTGTGCTTCTGGGCCTTGACTCACTCTGTCTATCCATGCAGAGTCCCTATGCCAGCTCAGGAGGTGAGCTTGGATACCCCTCACCCCCCCTACCCCCACACCGTTCCAACACAACTTTCCTATTCTGTCTTCCTCTCTTGGAGCTGCTTTGGCTCCTGTCTTCATCGAGTTCTGTGAGGATGAGCTCAAGTCCAGTCTGGTCCCTTCAAACTTGAATTTGTAAGTGGTCTTGTCAGTACCCGAGTCTTGACTCTCTCCTGCAGATGTTTATTTGATTAACCCCTTTGACTGTTGCCTCTCCCTGTTGCCTTAAGGTGGAATCTTCTGCCCTAATCTCAGCTCCTATGAATTCAATTTCAGCCCTTTAGCCATCAAGGCCAATCCTGAGACCCAGCTAGTTTTAGCAGCTGTCTCATCACACCTAAAATCAGCAATACAACTCAGCCCAGTCCTTAATAGTAGGTTATTTTTGTCTCTCACCCTGATAGAAGTCTTCCAGTCTGAGAGATGATGAAACAGAAAACTGCTTTGACAGTTCATTTATTGGGAAGAATTTAAATATAAACATCTGAATGGAATAGGTAGCCCTGAAACAGGTTCAAACATATACACTATAGGACACTTAAAATATCATGGAGATGGGGACGGATGTTGGAAAATTGCCAGTTGAAGAGAAACAAACCCTCAAGTTATATCCTTATCTTACAAAATGCACCGAAATATATTTGGGGCAGATTACGTGTAAAACGTCTTCATATAAAATAACTTGAAGACCGTGTAGGTGAATATTTACTTTTGAGTGAAAAGTACTTCAAAATGTAAAAGCATGTGATGATCCCACAAAAGAAAATATCAATGCATTTGCATATATAGAATCCAAAACTTTGGTAAACTAAAAAAGTCATAAGCAACTTGGAAAATGTATTCTCAATAGTTGACAATATGTGTGTGTATAAGGTGTGTATATATATATATATATATATATATATATATATGTATGTATATGTGTGTGTGTGTGTATATATATAAGATGTGTATATATAAGGTATGTATATATAAGGTATGTATAAGGTATACATATATATATATGTGTCTGTGTGTATAAGTATACATATAAATACATATATATTTGTGTATATAAGGTATAAGGTGTGTATATATAAGATGTGTATAAGGTATGCATATATAAATATACATATATATGTGTATATAAGGTATACATATATATGTATGTATATATATGACACAAACAGGTAATTAATAAAATTTTCGAGATGATTAATGAGTTCTTAAAATATCAGTCCAAACTTACTAGAGTCAAAGAAATAAACAGCTCTGCTAAATAACTAGTAGCTATTAAAGTAAATAAAACTCAAGGCTGCAGAGAAATGGGAATTTCCTCCAGTAACTAAGTATGTGAATTGGCAAAAAGGTTTTGGAAAGCAGTTTTGCAAGACATAAAAAAACAAAAAAAAAAACAAAAAAAAAAAAACACTTTGGTCCATCTGATCCACTCCCAATCTGTCCTAAGGAAAGTGGTCAGATAGCTATGTAAAAAGATGTCTGTTACAACCTTATACATAATACAGATCCTAGATACATCCTAAATTTCCAGTATTGGGAAAATAGTTAAATAACTTATATCCATAGAATAGAATATTAGATAATGTGTTACAATGTTTTGAAAGATACTAAATGCCAAAAAACGCTCTTAAAATGATGTCACACTAAAAGGGTAGGAGGCAGAGTTATTCACATGATGACCCAAATGCTGTAAAACATAAACATATGAAAACATGAACATCCACCTATATAAGAGAGTAGAGGGAAATGTATTGAAATAGCAGATGTGGCTACCTTTTTAATTGCTATTATTATGGATAATTTTAATTATAATCTTTAGATTTTTGTTATTTTTCTTTTCAAAGTTTGGTAGCAAGCGTGTGTTGCTGTTATAATCAGGAAAAGTAATAAATATTAAAAAGCGTATACCTGCATTACTTGAATTTTTGGGTTTTTTTTTTTTTTTTGAGCGTCTGTTAAACATCAAGGGAGAGAGGCAGAGAGGAAGGAGTCTTCCTTCCTTCACTTGTAGTATCTGGGCTGGGGTAGGTTAAGAAGCGGAGGACCCGTATCTTCAAGATAGTCAGCAGGGACTCCAGCTGAGGAACCCATAGCACACGGGTACAGAGAAAATAAAGACAAATTAAAAGAAGGGACTGTGGTTTGAACAACACCAGATGCAAGTTCTATTGAGATGTGTTCCTCTCTGAGAAGTTTCTGGATCCACACATTTCTGATCTCCTGAAAGTTATCCTGGATGGAAAGCAAATATTCTGATTTTTCAATTCTAGTTTTTCTAACCAAGCGCTTATATTATACTTGTTTTAGTGGCGGTCTCTTCCACTAGCCTGTAGGATTTGATGGGGTAGGAACCTACTTGGTCTGGTAGGTAGTCGTGCTCCGTGGCATTTGCTGAATAAATGCACAAATGCATGTGCTTGGAAACTAAACTAGAGGAAAGAAGACGGGCTTTCTAGAAGCTTCGCAGTGTTATATTTTGCTTCTGGCCCTACATTTTGTTTGACCGTGTGTACTCTTTCTCTTTTTCTCTCAGAGCTCACCCACCGTAGGCTTGGCTTGCTGGCCATTCAATCCCACCTTGTGCTGCACATTAGAATTGGTGGGAGTCTAAGGAGAGAAGAAAAGAAATCTGAGGGATGACTGAGTGCAGCGGTCAAGAGCGTGGGCTCAGGCATTCCGTTGCCTGGGTGTGAAATGTGGCACCGCCGTGTGCTAGCTGTGTGACGGGGCACAGGTCACTTGACTTCTCTGTGCTTTAGCTTCCTCATCCGTATAACAATGACGGTAGCAATAGGATGTACCTCCCAGGGATGTTGTGGGCATTAGGTGGGCTTTTAGGCCTCAAACGCTTAGCACATTGCCTGGCACTGCTTAAGTGCTACATAAGTAGAAGCTTTTCTTCTTCTTACTAATTTTTTCCTAACAAGCAGCAGGCGTTCTCTTCAGTTAACCATCGCTATGGTTTCTAGTTTCTCTAAACCTCCCGATGTTTTCCATCCAACCATGCATAGATAATGAACTTGATGTCTTTATAAAGCTGGATATTTTGTAGCAACTATTTTAAGCTCCCTCCTCTATGGTCTCATTTCATTAGTTAATAACTGTCATGACAAAGTGATAGAAAGGGTCCTTTAAAAATATTTCCAATACTGCAGATGCCAAATATCAATTGCCACAAAACTTTATGCCAAGACGTGTAGTATTTTTCTTACTTAACACATTGTAAATTATTTTCGTTTTAAGATTAAAAATTTTTTTTCCCTGGACTTTAAGCTCTTCGTGGGCCAAATCTTTCTTCCTATACCTCCCACACAGACTGCTCTCTGTGAATATTTTATTGTCATGCCAATATTAACAAATGAATAATTAGATCCTTTCTCTAAAAAAAATTTAATATTTTTGAGAGAGAGACCGAGAGCAAGTAGGAGAGGGGCAGAGAGAGAGAGAGATAGAGAGAGAATCTGAGGCAGGCTCCGGGCTCTGAGGTGTCAGCACAGAGCCTGACACGGGGTTTGAACTCACAGACCGTGAGGCCGTGACCGAAGCCAAAGTTGGACGCTTAACCTACTGAGCCACCCAGGTGCCCTCGTCCTTTCTCCTTCTGTTACAAACACAGGGAACACTGAGTAGTGATAGGCTTACCTCTTAGCACAGGTGTCTCTGACACATTGCTAGATTTCATCTTGTAATTTCATCGGGGAACGTCCAATCCTTATTTCTTACCTTTAAACAGTGTCATCCTCAACTAAGGGAGAATCCACTGAAGGCTGGTTGACGGTGACCAAGTCCTTGGCACGCCTCCATCGGTAGAAATGATAACTGATATTTCTGAAATATGTAATTGCACCCACGGTGAGATACTGGACTATATTACTCATCTTCTACGTCTTGCACTGAATAAGGTGTGCAGTTTTAAAAAAGCATGATTGTTATTTTATAATTATAATAATAATAATAATAATAATAATAATAATAATACCCTTTTGTTATGTAGCGCTGGGCACTTTATAGAGCATCCTAGACATTATCTCATTTAATCTGTGCAATAAGCTTGGATTTTTATTGCTGTTTTACGTGTGGAAATTTGAATATTGGCAAGAGGGGAGTTGAGGTGTCTCAGTCAGCTAAGCATCCAGCCCTTGACTTTGGCTCAGGTCATGATCTCACAGTTGGTGAATTCAAGCCTCATGTTGCTTGGGATTCTCTCTCTCTCCCTCTCTCCCTGCCCCTCCCCCACTCGTGTGCTCTGTTTCTCTCTCTCTCAAAATAAGTACATTGAAAATTTTTTTTAATGTTTGTTTTTGAGAGAGAGAGAGAGAGCATGCAGAGGAGGGGCAGAGAGAGAGGGAGACACAGGCTCCAAAGCAGGCTCCAGGCTCCATGCTGTCAACACAGAGCCTGATGCGGGGCTTGAACTCCCGAACCGTGAGACCGTGACCTGAGCCGAAGTCGGACGCTTAATTGACAGAGCCACCCAGGTGCCCCTCAAAATAAGTTAATTTTAAAGAAGTTAAAAAAAAATTTAGCTAGTACGTGCATGTGCTTGACACACACGATGTCGTTCAAGCTCAAAATAGCCCTTGAATGAAGCCATAATATCTCTATTTCACTAACATAAATCTAAGGTTCAGAGTGTATGATACAATTGAGATTCAAACCCTAGTTTGGCAGCAAAACCTAAGGTCTTTCTACTATACCAGTGGTTGATTGGACCATATCAGAACCTTCATTTACTTGAGTCTGCTTCTTACCACTGAAGTTACTGGGGTTTTCCCCAACTTTATGAGGTGTAATCGACAAGTAACAACTGTATGTATTTAAGGTATAAAACATCATGGTTTGATATATGTATACATTATGAAATGGTCACTATAATCAAGCTAATTAATACGTCCATCACCTCACATACTGTTTATCGTGCGTGCGTGTGTTAGCAGATTTCAAGTGCACAATATAGTCTCATTAATTATAGTCACTACACTGTATACTAGGTTCTCAGAACTTGCTCAAACTGTTAACTGGAAGATCGTATCCTCACTGACATCTCCCCATTTCCCCCATCCCCCTGCCCTTGGCAACTGCCTCTCTTCTCTCTGCTTCTGAGTTCATGAAGTCACTGTGTGCTCATCGCTAGTGACATCAGGGTCTGGACGTGCCCATGACTCTAGAGGACATCGGAGGACAGCCTTTTTTTTTTTTTTTTTTTTGCCTCATCCTTCCCAAAGAGAATTCCTACTTGCCCCATCCTCTGTCACTCGTGGTAAACATGGAGAGTGCAGACACTGTTGTATCCTTGTCTGTCTCTGTCCGCAGGGTCTGGGACCAAGGCTAGCGATTAGGGAGGTGGCCGAGCTCCATTAGCCTTCTCACCGTTCTTTCCCCCCGTCCCACTCTTTCTAAATCTAATTCCTCTATGCACAATGCCCTAGAAAACTAAGATCACAAATTGGGCAGTTGGGCTGCCCTGGGAAGTAGAGAGCAATGGCTACCTCAGCCTATACTCTGACTTGCCTTTCAAGGATGTTTGTTCCAAAATTCCAGAAATTGACCAATTTTGTAAAATTTTGTAAAAAACAAAAAACCAAGTTAAGTTTGCGCCTTCCAAACAGTCTGATCTTTAGATCCTAATAACCCTGGCTGGAAGGTAGAAACTCCAGCGTTCGCTTTTGGGTCAGGGTGTCATTGCTCAATATGCTAAGAGAATTCATTTTCCTCGAGTGTTTTTCCTTTCAAGTCACGTTTTACGGCTGGAGTTACTCAACGAATTAATAGGTATAGAAATGCAAAGCTCTTTTCTTATTACATTCTATCGATCTGATTGCAGTGTCATTAATTGAAAGACCAGGGAAATGTGATGGATAGTTCAGCTCAAGATTCTACATTCGTTTTGGCCCAGAGCTGTTGGAAAGAAAGCTGCATGAAACTGACTGAAAGAAGCCTTTTGGTCCGACATGAATTATTCTTTCTCTGTAAATCCTTGTAAGAGCTTTCAGTCCTAGTGAGATTTACAATGTGAAATTATAAACTGTTTCTACTCTTAAAAGGCAAATCAAAACTCAGAATGCTTATTTGTGGAGTTGGAAATCATCCATCTTGCATGTATATGACATTGAAAAAAAAAAAACAAACCAATTCTGGCAGAAACAAATTCTGACTCAAAAATAAGGAAGTGGGCATTTTGCTCTTTATCTGAAGTAATTTCATTTGGAAGATTGTGGTTGTGAACCATTATTTTCATTCATCACCATTGCGTCCATCTCATTCAAGTGCTGTGTGAAACTTGAGAGAGAGGCTATGTGGTTAGGGATTGTTTTTTATGGCTATTTTCTTTTTGGATTGTTTGACCTAGTATCCCTTGAATTTCTCCCATAAATTTAAATTAACTTGAGAATTTTGTGTATGTGTAGATATGCGCACATGCATATTTCACACGTGTACTCTAATATGGAAAATTCAAAGGAATGTTTTTAAATATTGTAATCCTCCACGTGAAGGGAAAATTCTTAGGCTTGGACCAGAGCATATACTACATTATATCTGATTTGTTCACGAAGGCTGAGCATGTCTCCTTTACTTTCCACTCATTCTATTTTTCTGTTGTGTTTATTATTTTTAAGTATTTGAAGCTTCAAGTGAATGCATAGAATACTCGGATGTAAAAGCACATCTAAGTCATATCCATTCCTTGCTTTTAATAAACATTTTTGTCTGGAGAAGTTTAGAAGTTTCGTGCATGTTCCTAATAATACATGTCCTACTATATATTTATTTTTCATGTATTTATTTTTTTATCCTTAGTCTATGCTGTTTGAATCACCTTTCTCAAGGTGCGATCTCTGATCCTGGTTGTACTTTTGGATGGTAGCATAAGTCATTTGTGGAAAGATTTGAAGTGAACCAATTGCCACATGGAATGACCTCATTTGGGAACGCATCTTGAAAATGGATTTAACGCTCTCTGAGCTCAGAGACAATGGGTCAGGGCTTGGGGTGCTCCTCACTGACCTTTGGCTTGGGAAGAAATGCGGGCTGCTTCCAATGATCATCAGCTAGCTACTCTGAGAGTGAAAAAGAGAAGTGGATGCTATTGATGAGTGCACAGGCTGCCTTACCCCTGATATTATGTCTAAAAATACATCCACAGAGAGGCAGGCATATGCTCGCGCCTTGGTGTGAAGAAGCTCTCTCTCCCCCCCCCCCCCCCTCTCTCTCTCTCTCTCTCTCTCGCCTGTGTTTCTTGCTATACCCATCTAAATTCTGGAGTGAGGAGTTAAATTATTCCGGAAGCCCTGCCAGGTTTTGATTTGCCATTGTCTCTGCTTCTTCGTTGCCTTTGAATGGGACCCTTGATACAGGGCTTTCAGAGACCAGCCAGTGCTGCTGGGGTCCGTGACTTGCCGATGGCGCCTGCTCGTTCCCGTTGTGTGTTCTGTCCGAGGCATGCTTTTCTTTCCTTTTTGGGAGGCAGAGAGCACTGGGCAGAGGTTGCACTTGGCACATGGCAGCTCCGTTTGTCACTGCTGTGGCTGTTATCCCCCTCGGCAAGCGCCAAGGAGCAAACAGGACGGTGGGTTACCTCGCCAGCTATTTAGCACTATTTCCCTTCTCCCTCTCAACCTCGCTAGGGTTTCTTTCTTTCTTAAGTGACGGGGTGTGCTGGGGGAGGGGAGGGGGGGTCCTGAGCCTCCCTCTCTACCCCAGCTTTATCTTGCTGGGGACCCGGTGCACCCTCCTTTCTAACACGTCTCCTCCTTGTGGAAGGAAGCTTGCTGGGCTCACTGCCCTTCCCTGCGACGCCGCTTTTAGGCTCCGTCGTTGCGGTGTTCTCTTCCAGGGTTATTTCCAAATTTGCACGGCTTGCGTAGTTACCTGCCAGATTAAAAGGGGGAAAAAAATGACTGCTTGAGCCATTTTGTCAATAGGAAGAAAGAAAACAGAAATTGCTCTTTAGGGTGGCAGACCCCAGAAGAGGGGTAAATAGCAGATGGAAATAAGGTGACACTGTTTTTGCAACCCCTGCCACCGCTTGGCTGTAAATGCATGCCTTCAGGCGAGACTTTTCTGTCTTGTTTATGGAGTTAGAGAAGATGCGTAACTTCCAGGATGTTTACCATACCTTGTCTGCAAATAGTTTCGATTCTGGCAAGAAGTGCTGGGGGAAAAATGCAGCTCTTCATGGCCCAGACAAGAGGGAAAAATCACAGAGCACACAGAGCACACCCTTCCCTTTGAAATTATCCATATTCAAAAGTGAGTAAGATCAACTGTTACTTAGACCTCTCTTCTTCTGCTTGTGTATTCAAGTTAGCAATATTTTGATGTCCTTGAAAACTGTAAGGCAAAGCATTGTTTTTCAAAAGGGTTGGCTTTTCTTTTCTTTCTTTTCTTTTCTTTTTTTTTTTTTTTTTGAGGCTTCTGCAAAATGAGATAAAAGAATTCTTGATGTGGCTTCAGATTGTTAGCACAGAATATACCCAGAGAAAGTTACCAGCGAACTTTCCACTGTACGCTGGGACTCCCAACACGTACAATTAAAAAAAAAAAAAAAAAATACGCATGCACACACACCCCAGAGCAGAGCACTCAGTGTTAACATCCAGACCTGAATTTTAATCAGAGTAATTTCATCTGTTACGGGGGAGAATTGATCTTTCACGTACACTTTTCTATAGCTGAATCCCTCCCCCTCCTCTTTTTGTCACTATTTTATTAGCTTCTTTCATAAAAGCCACTGAAATGGACAAAGAACTCTACCGTATACTTAATTGAAGCTCTACTTGCAGTTGTTAAAATGGAGCATGGATCAAATATGTCATAAACTCTGATTTGTCACTGGGTATTTCCTTTCAGTTCAGCTTAATGCATTTCAATGATGCCAAAGAAGCATATATACCTAGAGGCGCTCCCATACCTAATTATGCAGCTGGATACATTAGTAACCTGTAATGTCACATAGATTTGAGAGTTAAACAGAAAAAAAAAAAAAAACCAGGAAAAGATGCCCCTATTTGTAGCCAGCAAGTTGCGTGATCCAGGTGCCAGAGTATTTGCATGTCTTTCCACCTTTG